GGTGGGACACAGCAATCTGTATTTTAAAGGAATGATATTTTAATAAGTTGTCTGGGTGATTCTGAAGTCCATTAAGTTTGACAGCTACTGGTCTTATTGTGGTTCTTTTAATAATTTTTCTTTCCTCTCTAGCTTTTTAAAAGGTTTTCTCTTTGCTGTTCTATAGTTTTACCATGTATGTGTTTATTTTTGTTATCCTGTTCAGGACTTGTTCTTTAATCTGTGTATTTACGTCTGTTGTTGAGACACTGAAGTTTTTAGGCACTGTTTTGTAGAATGTTGCCTCTTGCCCATCCTCTCCAGTCTCCCCTTCTTGAATTCCTATTAAGTGTATATTGGACCTTCTCCTTCTTCTCCGCCACAACTCCTGTTTTCTTCCCTGTATTCTCTCTTTGTCTCTCTGTTCTTCATTCTGAGTCATTGTTTCAGAGCTGACTTTCAGTCATAATTTTCTTCTCAACTTTTTATAATATATTTAAATATCCTCCTGACTTTTTAATTTCTAGAAGTTATTCAGTTATTTTTTAAATTTCTGCCCTTTTTCCCCAGTATCCTGTTTTTTTCTTACAATTTCTATTCCTACTTTCATTTCTTTAATCATTTTAACATAATCGTTTTATATTTTTATTAATTTTTCAGCATTTTATTATTTTAGTTTCTTTGGGTGCTAAGTCTCCTGCTTGTTTTATCTGCTGATTCTTTGTCATGCTTATAATATTTTATCATGTGGTCATCTTCAGCAGAGATTGTATGTGTCTGAAAAAGAGAGTCCCATGGTGTCCAAGATGTGGAAGAATAAGTTTTTTACTAGCTTTTACCTCAAACCTCTGCTAATATCAGTTTTTTATATTAATTTTTTTGCTTGGGTATTTGCAGCCTATGCAAGTAGTGTAAATATGGCCTCTACCTCTATTGTATGCATAGTATAGTTCTGGTGGTGCAACAATTAAGCACTCGACTGCTAACCAAAAGGTTAGTGGTTTGAACTCACCCAGCGGCTCTGTGGGTAAAAGATTACAGCCAAGAAAACTTACAGGGCAGTTCTACTCTGCCACATGGGTTCACTATGAGTCAGAATTGACTCAAGGGCACCCAACAACAGGACTTTGATTTCTCATATGATTTTTCTTTTTGTTTTTTGTCCCATCTAAATTTCCTGTCACTTCCTTGAACTGGTGGGCAGAGTTTCCTAGGGCTTCTTTTGTTTAGGTAGCATCTGGTGTCCTAATTTTTTGCAGCTATCTCAGTCCCAGCACCTGCCTTATGTGGCTCTGTACCCTCATCTTCTGTTTTCATATTGGTGGAACTTACATCCGCTCTAAGATCACCTCTCTTCAGGTAGGGGTCATGAATTCACCACTCTGACTTTTAACTTCTCTCTGCATTTCTGACACCTGTGTACTACCTTTCTTTCCTCTGAGGTCAGCTGTGGATTTTTAAAGTTTTTTTTTTTTTTAATCAGATCTAGGTTG